AGAAATATGACGACGGGACAGACTGGACATTAGAGGCCTCCGTGGATCCCATGGGCAATATAGAAATCACCAAGGTTCGAAATACAAGAAATACAATTGATAACGACGGTCTGGGGGACTCTGCTCCTACTGAGGCATAATATCTGTTGCCAAAGACATGTGTCACTAAAGGGGGTAGAAATTGGCATACTAATAGGGTGCTGTATTTGAAAGCTCTGATCTAGGTCGGCAGAAGCATATGTGGATGAGCACAATACTCAAATAATCTTGAATCGATTAAGCCGCTATTGCTACTGCCCCTGAATCATCACACCCGGACGTAACTAGGTCTCATAGCTAACTATAAGATGCTGATCGCCCGATGAGCCCCCTCGATAGATACCGATAGTTATACACATCACACTCCTCACCCGCCAGGGGCATATCGCAAACAGCTAACTATTAAAAGGGCGGGCGGAATTATCTCGCATAGCAACACTGCTCATGGATCTTCTCATTCTCCATCCACGTCTTGATACCTATAACCAGACTCTGTACGGGGAGAACACATCCCCCACATACCTCTCCCACCGTACATATGTGTGCTTTGGCATTCGGCAAGGGGTACACATATCATTCCGGCATTCCGATCTAGGTTAACAACTGAAAAGGTATAATACTAAACCGTCTGGGTATTGTGGCCGTGTTCCGTAACTTTGCTGTCTTCTAAGGACTTCTCATCTTCCAGCATGTGCTTAGGCACACAGTCCTCGTAAGATACCTGGGACTCGGGTGTTTCGACATCGTCATTCCCTTCGGGGGCACCTTGGGGAGCCAGCAGCACCTGTCTGGGAGTAACGGGAAGAGCTGCTGATGGAATTGTGGCGGCATCTTCGTCGTCTTGACAAGACTCCCTCGACACCTTATGCTGAATCATATGCACCTCGGAGGCAAGACGCGCGCTCAAGGGGGGTCTCGTGTTATCACTACTCGACAGGGCTAATTGGCTTTCCGCAACCACGGATCCGCGCTTCATATTGTCGATTTGTCGTTCTAGTGCTTGTAGCTCTTTGTAACCTCCATTCATTGGGAGGATTTCGAGCTCTGGATATTCCAAATGCCCATGCGACTTCTGGTAACCTCGATCTGACTCCGCAGATGCTCTTCTGTCACGGTTCAAACTTCCTTGGACAACTTTATTCAGACTTCCTTTCACGACTTTGCCAACTTGAACTGACAGGCTTCGTGCCTCAGGTATAACATATCTCTTCGACGAATCGTTAGGTTTGTCCGTTAACCAACTCGTCCCGCTACCGTTGGATCCCACGCGGACAGCAAAATCCCTCGGAATCACGTCGTCTCTCTCTCCTGCGGGCCCAGTTCTTTCATGACGTGTATGTGATGGCCACTTTGCCCATGATGCCGGGGGTGTCTTGAACCTCAGAGGACTACGACTTTGAGGCTCTGGTTTTGGTTCCAGGGCTTGGACATCTTCATCATTCATCAGATTGACCCATTCTCGCAAGACGCTGTTCGATATATCCGACTGTTGACTAGGACTTCTATCGTACTCGGGCCGTGATGGAGGTTTCAGAGTGTGTCCATGTTCTACCCTTGACTGTGAGTCAAGCACGCCAGTAACATAAGAGATCTTGTTGTTTGAGACAGCCCGTTCAGGATCAATCGGCTCTTCCTTAGAGTTCCGCCTGTGTTGCTGAAAATCAAGGATGTCTTCATGGCTAATGGTGTGTTGCCGTTGACCTAACGCGTTTTCGACATCAAGACGTTCCTGGCCCGAATCAGATGATATTACCAGCTGTTCATCAATGATGGCTTTCTTGGAGTCTTGCTGACGCAGGTGACTAATTGCGGAGCCCAGATCTTCTACGCTGCGGGAATTGACACCACGAATGCTATATCCTCGTTTGTCCTTTGCCGTATGCTTCACTCTTTTTGGTATCGGCAGGTGGAATTTAGCGAATATGGAAACCTTGGTGGCCGCCGAGGCTTGAGGCTCGGTGAACTCCTCACGGAATTTGCTAACTATCGGGATGGTAATATCCCGGCGGCTCTGGAAGTGTCCAAATCTTTTCTCAACTGACTTTAGTTCTGCTTCTCGGTGCTTAAAGCTCGCAGTATCCGAAAACACTATCGAACCTATCTCGTCGATTTGATGCTGCTCTGATCGGACCTTACTCAGAGTAATATCCAATGCCGACGCTTCATTATGAGCAGTCTTGTAAGAGCTCACGTCCGACTTCGACTTCTCGGCGTCTGTCGAGCGGCTCGGAGATATTAGGCCTATGAATTATCGTTAGATACCTGATATATGGTGTTTCACCTAAATAAGGTAACTCACGGCTGAAATTTGAGAATGGCGATATAGCCTTTCGTCCTCCCAGGAGCTCAACTAAACTGAGACGCGACTCTTTTGCTACAGTTTGACAGCTATCAGGTCGGGTAGTATATCGCGAAGATGCGTAATGAGAGGAAGAGATCTTCCTAGCGAGATCTACATCGCCAAACGCATCACTAGGATCACTAATAGACCGTTGCCGCTCCTTAGGTTCAGTGCTCGTTAGTTCTGCTACATCAATCCCGGTATCTCCTTGCGGATCGTACGAAGTTGGCCAATCACCGAGAGGGCCGTGTGGTGCGGCGGGCGAAGAATTCGAGACATTGCGCACGCCACCTAGTAATACGGATTCGTCAATATCTCCAGATTGGTGCAATCGGCTACCAAAACTGTCTGGGATCATCTGGAGGATCATGTCACTGGTTCTTCTGCTTGATACAGCTGAACTTGACTGCAATTCTTGGCTCCGCAGCCATAAATCTAGTGGCGAATCCACACCCGAGTCCGTGTCAAGAGAAATTTCGGCACATAGATCTTCTAGGGTCTCTGTATTGCCCTGGTCATGTTGTGGACTATGATTCGGTAAAGGCTGTTGCCGACATAAGTCTTCCGCTAGCTCTATATTCGTCCTAGACGTTTGGTCATCCGAAGAACGGGTATTAACACAGCCCACTTGCTCCCCGGTCTGTTCATTCGTTTCCTCCTTCTGTACGTCGGTTTCAGTATGTTCAGAATGAGTGACGGGTTTTAATTCGCCGGGGACGTCAAGGTAAGCCGTGACTTGTTCAGTGCTGTAGGAGAGTCGCCAGGAACAAAGGGACTGGGAACTTGGAATACTCGGTAGATGAATGGGCACCAACTGAGGAGAAGATGGAAGTTGGGGTAATGAAGCTCGTTCCTTAAGAGTTAGGGGATTCTTCGGGACGGGATCCTCGTGCGATTGAGAAGTCGAACTGGGACTCGAGTAGCTGCTTCGGCGACGGGAAACAGCTAGCTGAGAGTCGCTCGGTGGAAGAGCAAGGAATATGACATCCAGAGAGCCATGAACGCAGTCCCTAGACCCAGTTTCGCTCACACCCGAGACAGAAAACTCTATATTATCTCGAGGACCACCACCAGGTAGCTCAACGCGAGTGGGACTGACAGGTTTCGATTCGTCAATGGTGCTCATCTTAGTATCGGCCTCCTCATCTTGTTCTTCTTCGCTCTTCAGCTCTTCTTTGATTCTCTTGTGCATCAGACGTTTCAGTTCGGCACGCCGTGCAATCTCCTCATCGCTGGTACCGAGATATTGCTGTGAATGCCTCTTCGATCCAGACCCTTCAGACAAGCGTCTAATAAACTTAGTCCTAATTGCTTCTAGGGTACCGGTACTAGAGTTTCTGATACTCTGTGCAGGCTCATCATCGTCGGAATCTTCTACTTCGAGGATGGTGGGGTCGACGGTAGCTTCTGGTATCTGATTATGAAGCAACGAAAGAGGCTGCGTAACTACGATCGATGGCGACGATGGCAACTCTGCTTCAGAAGTAGGGAGCGGTGACTTGGTCAATTTCACGGCCGGTGGGTGGGTTGGAAGTTCGACTAGGCCTCGGTCGGGTTCTTCGTGAGTCGGTTGGCGGCCTCGAAAACAGCAAAGGATGGACATCGTCGAAGACGTCCGAATGCAAATGAATGGAAGATCGTATAATATGTGTCATGGGTTTCCAAGAAAGGCTCGACAGTTGCCGAGCTGGAGTTGGTCGGTGATTACGAGGATCGAGACACTGGATTTCCATTGACATGTTAGAATACCGAGTCTTTCTTGCTTGGATTTAGTAAAGAGCTGGAGATGTTTCATATCTCGTGCTTGTACTTGCTAAGACATTGTCGTCCAGGAGGAAGCAATCACCTTTTGGAACAAGGGTTACGTCATGAGATCCCTATTACCCTTGGTCGTTGCAGCCTTAGGTAGTGAGCCTTCCTTCCCCCCCCCCTTTATCTACCATCTTTACCTACTCCTAGCACATAATTCGGTAATGCTCATGCTCATGCTCATGCTCACGCTTGTCAATTGATATCTCATTCTGGGCATGATACGACCGACCACCACAATAACAACCTAGTTTAAAACAGTTCATTTTATATTCACCCGTATTAGTTAGGTACTATAGGAATAATCCTTATATCTAATGGAACGATTGAAGTTAGCTAAAGTTGCTTTTACTCTGAAGGATCTTGATTATATTTCAATAATTTAATCGCTACGTGGTAAGGGCTGTTATATCATTACTACAGCTGATATCCAGAAATCTAACATCATATATATTATCCAAACCCAAGTAGACTACCATATAGGTACCATTTTATTGGTAGAGCTGGGGTCAACGATGTTTCTATCCACTTCTAAGCTTGTATAGGTATCTAAAGACTTACACGATGAATTGGAATTTGTTTACTACCTCAGGACGGTGGCCTTGTCTTCAGTTTTCTCGTAAAGCGGGTTCTAATTGACAATGACACATAATATTAAGGTGCGGGCCCTGTCTAATAGAATAGGAGGTAGTCACAGCTCACGACAAGAACATACCTAACCATCATATGACATATAACGAACAATGGAATGAAGCTTGTCATAAAAAACACAGCGCATCACATCGGTACGACGAGTGCAATGAGAAACGAGGCCAGCGTAGCTCAATCGGTAGAGCGTGAGATTTTTAATCTTCCGTGGTTATCTCAAGGCTGCGGGTTCGACCCCCGCCGTTGGCTCAATTCCCACCATGGCTACCAATCGACTTGGGACCTGATTTTTTTTTATACTCCCCGACCAGAGCATCACAGGCGTGCAACCTCTCATCGCTCCTTACCTTGCCGAGCTGGATAGGCCCAACATAAGCCACACCTTCGAGACCAACTTCTCGGCCACCTTCCTCGACTACTTCGCAAGCATCATGAGCCCATTGCCTTACGGACCATATCCGCCTACGGAAATCTGGAACAACTGGCTCATGCCACTCTTAGTGGTACTTAACTCTACCGCTACCAGCCAGCTCAAGGATGCCTTCAAGCCGGCCGTGGCCGACGGCACATTTCTCATTGGCTGCAACGGGTTGAGCGTTGCCGACAACAAGCAATGAGAACACTCCGACAATGCAGTCTTCTCAGTCTTCCCAGTCTAGCAGAGCTATCGCAGCCTGTAGCCTGTAGCCTGACTGCTTTCCGAGGCTGTGCCAGAGGGGTCAAGGAGACGCTTGTTGGCGTGTATACTTCGTCCATCGAGGCTGTTACGCCGGGCTCGGGCGTCTACCCGAACGGGATCAATCCCTGATTTAAGGAGGAGCTGAGCAAAGAAGGGCACATCATCATTCGGCGCAGGGCGAGTAGAAGTTCCGAGTCCTCTACGGCTCCGCAGGTAAATGAACTGGGGATTGGTGATTTTCACTCAGTTGAAAATTGGCTGCACCCCTTTTATCATTATTAGATGAGTTGAGAGCGAAAGCATAATTAGCAATTAGTAAGATGAGTATTGATAGTAGAGTGAGCTTCTAATATGCTACACTTTGTACGACGTGGACGGAAAAGCGGCGAAACAGACAGACAGACAGACAGACAGAGCAAACGATGTTCGCTTCGGCGGCTGTCGGAATCCACTTATTTAGGCCAAGCATCTAGACGTTCAGACGTTTAAATGCGGCTGTCGTCTGTGGCCTTAGTAACAATTAGTCCGGGGGGCTAATCTGCGAACTAATACGACTCTAATATAGGGGAATGTAACGGGAAACGATAAGACGCGCTTCCCAACAACATGGCTCGGTCACGGCGGAATTGATTGAGGTTACATGCGACAAGGATTAAAGACGAAGCTATGCAGCTGCAGCTATGTACTATGTAATCCCCTCGCAAATCCGCAAGACCCTCCGTGTCTTAGCTGAGGATCTTCATATTTAGCGTGGTCCGGAGAAACAAACATGGACCATCTGTACGATTCGGCGAATCGCTTTCGCGGACCTCATCTGTGGGTTTCTCAGTTTGCTGTGTGAACCCCGAGTACGCAGATGGCTGGGCACCCAATAGATAGCTCGCAATTGCACGTGGGTTAGTGGGTTAGAAGTCCGCTGGCTGGGAGGGCTGGAAGGGTTGGGACAGTGGGAGTAAGCACCGAGTACTGATGCAGTATCTCTGCATCTGACGAAGACAGCTACGAGACCTGAAGGGTACGTGGGACGTAGGATAGTAACAAGCTTGTCCGGCTAGCTGCATACATGCGCGTTAGGGTCCTTAAAAAAAAAGCCTATAGCTAGCACCAAGGCGTAAGGTGTAAAGGTTTGTTAGGGGGTGGGCTAGAGGGACCTAAAGGACGAAGGATGATGGATGGAGGATGGAGTTATCTACTCCCCGCTTTCGGACCCTGAATTAGATTCTTAGTGGTTAGCTCGTAGCACGACAAGAGAGAAAAAATTGATAACCCCCATAACCCCTCATGGTACCATGGACCTTCACAAGCCAACCTTGAACTGAGCTCCCAAAAGGAAAAGGACCATAAGAACCCCTCCTTCACCGCTTAGTTCCTGCTTACACCTCTGCTCATTCTCCTTCCTTCCAATTTCCTATTCTTCTTCCTTAAATAACAGACTCTCCTCCCATCTTGACTGTTCCTCATCAATTGCTCCAAATCTCCTAGTTGTAGAGAGTTGGGTCCAACAGTCTGTTCTTCTCGTGAGTCCGGTCCTTTTGCCATCCCACCTTTTACCCTTCCTCTTGCTCTTCTCTCCGGATTAGACTTGATTAAAGACTTGTGCTAATCACCCCCCTAGAAAGCCCTTCTTCTCCCAGATACGCCGGATCACCGTCAAGATGGTTCAATCAGCCGTTCTGGGTTTCCCCCGTATGGGTGCGAACCGTGACCTGAAGAAGGCCACCGAAGCTTGTAAGTAGTCTGCCGGCTTTGCTATCCTGTCACTAGCCATAGAATTCCGTTGCTGACTTCAAATTCAAAGACTGGGCTGGCAACCTCTCCCAGGCTGACCTTCTTACCGAGGCCAAGCGTCTTCGTCTCGCCCACTGGAAGATCCAGAAAGATGCTGGTGTCGATGTTATTCCCAGCAATGACTTTGCCCTCTACGACCAGGTCCTTTCCCACATCCAGGACTTTGGTGTAAGTCAACAAGAAATGCTTTCCAAATATCTATAACACAAGCTAACATTGGATCTCCTAGGCCGTCCCTGAGCGATACTCCAACGTCGGCCTCAACCGTGTCGATGAATACTTTGCCATGGGTCGTGGCCACCAGAAGGGCGGCGTAGACGTTCCTAGCTTGGAAATGGTCAAATGGTTTGACTCCAACTACCACTACGTCAAGCCCACCCTCCAGGACAACCAGACCTTCAAGCTCACTGCCAACCCCAAGGCTGTTGCTGAGTTCATCGAAGCCAAGGAGGCTGGTATCAACACCCGGCCTGTTCTGCTTGGTCCCGTCTCTTTCCTCCACCTGGGTAAGGCGGATCGTGGCCAGAACGTTGAGCCCATTGACCTCCTCGAGAAGCTCCTTCCTGTTTACGAGGAGCTTCTTACCAAGCTGAAGGAGGCTGGTGCCGAGACTGTACAGATTGACGAGCCCGTTCTCGTCTTCGACCTTCCCGCTAAGACGAAGGCTGCATTCAAGCCGACCTATGAGAAGTTCGCCAGCGTGGCCGCTAAGATCCCTAAGCTAGTTTTCACCACCTACTTTGGTGACATCGTCCACAACCTTGACCTTGTCCCCAAGGACGTTTACGCTGTACACGTTGACCTCGTCCGTAACCCCGAGCAGCTAGAGACTGTCCTTGGCGCCCTTGGCCCTAAGACTACTCTCTCTGTCGGTGTTGTCGACGGCCGAAACATCTGGAAGACCAACTTCAAGCGTGCAATTGAGGTTGCAGAGACTGCTGTTCAGAAGCTCGGCAAGGACCGTGTCATTGTTGCCACGTCTAGCTCTCTCCTACACACCCCTCACACCCTCGCCAGCGAGAAGAAGCTGGACCCCGAGATCGCCGACTGGTTCTCGTTTGCCTCCGAGAAGGCTGTTGAGATTGCCATCATTGCCAAGGCTGTCACCGAGGGCCCTGCCTCCGTCCGTGCGGCCCTCGAGGCGAACGCCAAATCCATGACGGCTCGTGCTACCTCGAAGCGAACGAACAACCCTCAGGTCAAGGAGAGGCAATCCAAGATCGCCCCCTCGGACTACAACCGCAAGTCTCAGTTCCCGTCCCGAATCTCTCAACAACAGAAGAAACTTAAGCTTCCTCTTTTCCCTACTACCACCATCGGCTCTTTCCCCCAGACCAAGGAAATCCGAGTGCAGCGAAACAAGTTTACCAAGGGAGAGATCACCGTGTCTCAATATGACCAGTTCATTGAGCAGGAGATTGACATGAACGTCAAGATCCAGGATGAGCTCGACCTAGATGTCTACGTCCACGGTGAGCCCGAGCGAAACGACATGGTGCAGTACTTCGGTGAGCGCCTGGACGGCTATGCCTTCACCACGCACGCTTGGGTCCAGAGCTACGGCTCTCGATGTGTCCGACCTCCTATCATTGTCGGTGACATCTCTCGCCCGGCTCCCATGACCGTCAAGGAGTCCAAGTATGCTGTGTCGGTCTCGAGCAAACCCATGAAGGGTATGTTGACTGGCCCGGTCACCTGCCTGAGATGGTCGTTCCCTCGTGACGATGTCCACCAGTCCGTCCAGGCCGAGCAGCTTGCTTTGGCCCTCCGCGACGAGGTCGTTGACCTTGAGAAGGCTGGCATTGATGTCATCCAGGTCGATGAGCCTGCTCTTCGTGAGGGTCTACCTCTCCGAGCCGGCAAGGAGCGCGAATCTTACCTTGAATGGGCCGTTAAGGCCTTCAAGCTCTCCACCGTCGGCGTTGAAGACTCGACTCAGATCCACTCTCACTTCTGCTACTCTGAGTTCCAAGACTTCTTCCACGCCATCGCCGCCCTCGACGCCGACGTGCTGTCTATCGAGAACAGCAAGTCCGACTCTAAGCTCTTGGGCGTATTTGTTGACGAGGCCTACCCTCGCCACATCGGTCCCGGTGTCTACGATATCCACTCCCCTCGTATCCCCAGCGAGCAGGAGATCAAGGACCGCATCGAAGAGATGCTTCAGTACCTCAAGCCTGAGCAGCTCTGGATCAACCCTGACTGTGGTCTCAAGACCCGTCAGTGGAAGGAGACCAAGGCCGCGTTGGTCAACATGGTCAACGCCGCCAAGTTCTTCCGCGCCAAGTACGCCAAATAAATGGTTCTCCGTTGGCGAGACCAGTGTTTTCATTTTTACGAAGTCGATGATTATTTGCATGAGGTTGTGGGGTGTTGCCTGCCAAAAGTTTTCTATGGGACTGCATAATCGATTTCAACATCGGCGTTTTTAACATAACGGGGTTCTCAAAGGTCGGGAATCTATACCAAAAAAGGTCCACTGGAAAGATTGGCGGGAAATGGGAAGCATTCAACATTAGGCATATACAGGGTGGGAAAGTATTATACCAGATAGTCCATCAACCGGACTTGGGGGAGTAGACGGCGTTCTTCGGAATTTGATTCCCTCTTTAATGGAAGGGATCGTGTTTACGATCAAATGTAGATATATGAGCAGTGAGTCCAATTCAACCGGGCGAAGATGATAGGGAGAATTGAAACTTCCATAACTGCAATACTTCTTTGGCTATGCACAGATGCTTTGCATGCGACGATAAGTTGCGAGTACATACCTAGGTACCCA